CCACATGGTCCGAAGAAACCGTCCCTCGTCTATTCACCTCGCTCATTAGACCAATCCTTGAATACGGTGCCCCAGCTTACCATTTGATAACCCAATGGGAAACTGAAAAGCTGGAGAAAATAAAGCATATCGCAACTAGAATGATACCAAGTCTTCGAAAGCTTCCGTATGAAAAACGCTGTGAAAGGCTCGGACTCTACACACTATCCTATCGCCGAGTAAGAATTGATCTTATTATGACCCATCGAGTACTACACTTGAGCCACTTCCCCATACTGCGGCCAATATTTCATCTGCGAGAACCATGTAACACCCGAGGACATTGTTACAAACTCAGGGCCCCCAGCATGAACAAAGTATCACATCAGCTTTGTATCGAACGAAGAATCGTAAACTTATGGAATACACTACCTGAAGAATTAATAGAGGCCGATTCTGTGAAGTGTTTTAAAACCCGTATCGACGATTATTTTGGAAACCTGTGCTTTTGTGAAACGATGCACATACAGCGCCAAAAGAAGACATTGTATGTCCGGAAATAATGACGCTAGTACAAATTTCTAACCGAACACGGATAAACGATTAACGGACCAGACACAACTGCTGATAATTCACAAGTAAATTTTGATCTTTCGTAATTCGATAGAGTTGTACAGAAACCTTTCTACTTGCTCTTAAATACAATCTCAGTCTCAGTTGGCTTCGCCAGTTGGTAGATGCATATGCGCTCAGAGCGAAAACGCGAAAACTTCTGAACCCAGCCTCACATGATCGCAATGTGATTGATTCGCGTCCATGGCTAGTTCAAGGCTGGTGTGTGTCAAGTCACCCTCTGAAGGGCGCTGTTGAAAGTTGTGCTCACGAGATATAGACTAGCATCCGCACACAATTGTAGCAACTGCTCAATTGTCACTACGGGAGTCTACATCGTGTTGGTCGCCAAAAGGCAGCGCATTAGTGGATAGTATTTCAACCTGAGCGTTCAGATCACCAACAACCACAAAAGTATAAGAAATTCTGCTATGATAAAACAAGCCATTCAGTTGATAATAGAAAGTCATCCAACACTGAGTCAAAGCCACAGTTTATGGGGAAGTAGGCCGCGATGACAGACACTGCTGTCTGTCTTAGAGCACCGTTTCTTACGGTCCATTGGCCGTATGTAGTGGATGCACGACGTAATCAATGCGAAAGTTAGACAGCGTGTCTTGAACGGAAGCAGCCACTCACTCGAGGAACTCGTTCCGCAGCGTCAGTTGCGGCGGCTTGCACACGTATTTTGCATGTAGGCTTACCGTCTTCCGAGTCGGGTGTTGTTCACTGTTATTGGTTGGGGCAGGAAGATGCGGTGTGGTGGACAATCAACATATGGTTAGCGGCATCCGGTTTCGGATTTGCCTGTCACTGTGGCCAGCCACAGGACGCCTGCGCCTACAGAGGGACAATGGGTGGCTTGCGAAGCACCACTCACAGCTCCAACCACACACCCCATATCCAGTGTAAACCCGAAGGAATAAGACCGGGAGGCATGTCGATGGGACCCACGTTTCATCAACGGAGCCGGCCCACACTCCTTCACAGGCAAACACAAGCACGCTGTAGTTGGGAATCAATCGCACACAAGGCGGTGGTTGGACCGTAATGCGCTCCACACTGAGTACGTGGAACCACTCTTCGAGCCTAACAGGGCCACAAGGACCGTGCATCCCGTCCCCTCCAGCAACGACCAACTGTCTCCTGGAGCCAGTATGGACGTGGTAGTGGGTAACAGACAGGTAGGCACCTTGTCAACATGCACATCAAGCGCAGCCTCACCTGGGATATCAAACAACAGCCAATCACTTGAGAGAAAAATAACCAAGAAAATAAATCGAGTGATGCATTAAGAAACGGTGACAACTCTTAAATTAGTGAGCATGTGAAATAAGTTGTTTACAAAAGAATACGAGGTAAGTTCAAGAGGTCAGGAAGTTTATTTTACGCAAATGCTACAAACACGAAAATGTTATCGCCATTAACTACAATTGTCTTAAGCGAGGTGTGCAAGTTTCTAGAAGAACGTACAGGTAGACATTTATATGAGAAAGAAAAGCATTAGGACAGAATTGAAAATCCACCACCTAAAATAAATAGACTTAGCATACAAGCAGGCGGTTAGTAAATCGAATGCAGCGTACCTACAAACGCTGCGATGGTTCTGCATACGTTCTCTGCAGGACCCGTCGTCGCTTCGGCAGTGGTCCCGAGTGACCTCTCTCATGGCTCACTAGGCCTGCCTGACTAAGGCACTCGCGGCCCCATGTTCTACAGCACAATGCGCTCGATGTCGATGGAGTACAACCCATCGTTGCTTGTCGCTTCCGCAATTGCCGCTTCTTCTCTGCACGTATGGGGTCACTCTCCCGCACTTCAGCAACTGCCTTCATGATTAGATCGCGCCATGCACGCCGATCAACCGCCTTCGATTCCCATGATCTGCAATCAAGATTAGAACGTGAGAGGCTCACTTTAATCATGTCCTGGTAACGTAACCTTGGTTTCCCCACGTGCCGCTTCCCAATACTCAGCTGACTGTATAAGAGTTGTTTCGGTATCCGCGTCGAATCCATACGGCTCACATGACCGAGCCACCTCAGTTGTCTCATCAAAAGTATGCAGTCCACTGCATACACTCCACTTTGTCGCAACACTTCCGTGTCAGCAACTCTGTCGCCCCAACCGATGCGCAACACCCGTCGCAAACACTACTGATGGAACCGCTCGAGATAACGCACATCCCGACGGTACATCGTCCACTTTTCACTGCCGTACAGAAGAACGGACAGCACCATGGATTTGTACGCCATCAACTTCGTACCAATGGTAAGCTGATGGTTGTTCCACACTCGGTACTCAAGCTTCCCGAATGCTGCCGCTGCCTTCGACACGCGGATACGCAGCTCACTGTGTAGCTGCTGATCAGTCGACATCACACTCCCAAGGTTGTAGAAGCGGGAGGTGGGTTCCAATACTTCAGCACCAATGCTGATTCGCGGCAATATTGAAGATTGCACCTCCGGTGAAGGCTGAAAGAGACAGACAGTTTTGTTTGTGTTGCTGGTGAGCCCGAATTTTGCCGCTGTCGAAGCCAGAGCACTAGTCATATGCCACAATTCATCCGCGCTGTATGAAAACAACGCACAGTCGTCAGCAAAGAACAACCTACGAATAGGTGTCTCACATAGTTCTCGCAGCGAAACGACGGATGTTCAGCAACCCACCATCAATACGGTGCTCCACACGAACACCGTAAGCACAAGCGGCATCAAAAGCACAAGACATCATTGCATGAAGACAGATGTTAAGCAGGTAAGGAGCTAAGACACAGCCTTACTTCACACTAGAGACAACTGCGAAGTCATCCGAGGTCTCTCCACTCAGTTGCACCCTCGCTCGCATACCACTGTGCAGACATTCAATTAAACTTACAAACTTACGCATGCAACCAAACTTACCCAACACCAGCCACAATGCCTCGCGGTTCACCGTATCAAATGCCTTGGTGAAATCAACAAAATGCGAGTACAACGGCTGGTGTCGTTCTCTGCACTTCTCCTGCAACTGACGAGACGCAAACACCATATCTATAGTGCTGCGACCCGAACGGAATCCACACTGCTCTTCCGCCACGTTAGGTTCCACAACCTGAATGACGAGGCGGTTGAGCAGGATTCGGGCAATCACCTTGCCCACACAACTCAGCAAGTTGATGCCACGATAATTCGTGCAACATTGCTTGCTACCTTTACCCTTGTACAGTGGTAGCACAAGGGCATCCTTCAGCTCAGCAGGCACCTCCTCCTCAATCCATACACGTTGCACCAAGTGGTGCAGCGTAGTCAACAACGCGGGTCCGCCGTGTTTCAATACTTCAGGCGGGATGCCGTCGGCCCCAGCACACTTGCCGTTTCGCAGCTGAGCAAGTGCTCTCTGCGTCTCATCCAGTGTCGGCGTGTCCGCCAGATTCGCCTTCACATCGTGTTGCTTGAGGCCATTCAAAGTAGGCCAGTCGATCTCTGAACGGTTGTTCAAGAGACAGTCAAAGTGTTTCCGCCAGACCTGCATTATGTCTGCAGTCTGTGTGCAGGTAGCGCCTGAACTACCATCGATCAGTGTCCTCAGAGGCTCCAATCTCGGTCCATATACCGCCTTCTAGCAGTCAAAGAATTCTTTGTGTTGGCGGCGTTCGGCGTAGCATTCCATCCGCTTCGCCTTCTCCGTCCACCATGCATTTTTTATGCGACGGAGCTCTCGGGTCAGTCACCGTCGAAGTTTGCGTAACTGACTCTTCTTCCCCAAGTCACTGGGATCTGCCACATGTGCAGCAAATGCTGCATTCTTCTCCGGCACCAATGCGCTGAGCGTCGCATTCAAACCAATCAGGCCGCTTACAGTTTGCGCGCCCAATGGTCTCCTCGGCAGCAGCTGTCACCTGGTCGCGAATGTGGTGCCACAGGTCTCACACTGTGGCTATGCAGTCCACATCACACAGGCGTGCAGGCATGGGCTCCTCCAGCTCAGTATGTTTCGCCACAGTACCGCGGGAGAGAATGTTAAATTTACGCCGATTCACGGCGGGAGTGCAACACATAAATTTACGAAAATATATGTACAGTTTGGTCCGCACCAATTTGTGATCGGTGTCACACTCAGCACCACGCAGTACACGTGTCATGCGCACCTCACGCATATCACGCTGACGTACGATGACATAGTCGAGCAGGTGAGCGTGACCACTCCGTGGGTGCGTCCAGGTTGCTATATCACTCGCACTCAGTGCAAACCGAGTGTTCGTGATCGTCAGGCCGTGAGTGGCACACAGTGAGAGCAGCCTGTCACCGTTCGCATCCGCTGAACCAATGCAATGCGGACCGATATATATATATATATATATATATATATATATATATATATATATATGAGCAAGACGGTTGAACTAAGGCGAAATGCGGAAAACTAACCTTTCAATCCCACCAGAATTAAGGCAAACATCAATTGGGCGTCTGGTAGTAAGTTGAGCGAGTGTGGTAAGGAACGAATATAACGACCATGAAATATCGGAAAGGTAAGCTACCACAGGCAAAAGTTGATTGTATCCAGAAGGTAAAGACGCTTGAGACTCAACATGATTAAAAATCTGAAGTTCGGTAAGTTTAAAAGTAGAGACAACCTACCTCGAACAATGCGTCGAACAGGCATTTCAAGTCATCCAGATATTTCTCCTGGTGAGTGAAAACGCTTGACAGAATCAATTTAAGGCGAGGCTGACAAAGCCCGTGGAAAATAGCACATAAATCCATCATAGTAGGAATATCGAACACGAAGTAATTGTACAACAATTCCGCAAACGCTTTCGGGGAAAAGAAATCTGACTAGGAGAAGGTTAGAAAATTAGACATCGTAGCGTACTTCGCTTTCGCAGGGATTGCTGGCTCGGACAAACACAGCGAAAACAAGGGAAAGCAACTGGCAATAAACGATACGCGCTCGTGCAGGCACTGTACTAACCCCATTTCTACCTTGAAACATCAGTGCTATTCGATATATGAAGAATACCTTGGAGCCTGAATCAGGAAAGAGTCTAAACTGGTACGTAAGGACTTGCTGAAGAGAATCTGAAGTTTCGGACACAATTACGATAACAGCCAGAAAAACCTGACACCAAAACTGATCAAAACTCATATGAAGCAGCTCTTCAAAGTCATCGCATAACAATTCCAAGCAGCTGATGAACTTGTTCACACTTTCAGTGTCTGCGTCCTCTGATAAAGGAACGTATTCCAAAAAACACAAGTCACATAAAGAGTTAGGACTCTGCGGTTGACCACATCCAACAGAGAAGAATAACCTACCAAAAGAGGCACTTGTGCCTTGGATTTGACACAGTAGACCGTTTTTTGATCCAAGGGGATGGGGGAAGACATCCTCGCTAGAACGGAAATTTACGAAGCAACGACTTGAAAGTGGACAAAGGCAACAACTATTTCACTAGTGAGGAGAGGGACAAGGCAAATAGAAGACAAGCTTCATTCGGTACCATCGCATGCACGTATCGATTGTCGGCCAAAATCTAGGGGTAGTGTGCATTGAGTTGTAGAGAAAAGAAGGGGGATCCCATGTCGGCCCCACCACTTCCAGTTCAGAAGTAGGAGCAGGTATGTCACGACCAGGTAATCTTCAGGGAGCCGGAGAAGTCGAAGTGGAATATTACGGTTCAGGTGATTTGTGTAGGTGGGTGTCCAAAAGCCATTTGAAACTCCTCCGTTGGCGCATCGACAACAGTCTCCGGTAGATGGTTGCCGTCATTTACTATCCGAGTAGATAAAGCGACAACAGAGCGGACTTCAAGCCGACTCAGTTCTTACGTTTCAAGACACATGTGCTGAGTTGGAAAAGCTGCTGTAATCGGTTTCCAAGGCACCTCTTAGTATGTGTCTGGTAAGATCTCCACGATAAAGACGGCTTTCCAAGTAGAACAGCTATAATTGCTGGAGTCAGAAGGAGTAAGGGATATCACGAGGTCAGGATGCGGACTTCGAGCAACGCGTCTGGACCTCTTCGATTAGACCACATTCAAGCCTAAAGAGTGGGAATGCAGCTCGCAAACCATTTTTCGGTGTCATTCGAGAGTAGGGTCTTCTTATGCTACAGAACAACCTGATCGAAGCGACGACGATCTTCACTGTATCGTGCGCGATCGAATCGAGTGCTATTAGTACGCCCAGATCTCCTAAGCTGCCTATCTGAGAAGGAACCCACTAAATGTGGTGATTTCCAAGTGGTTCAGAAGCCCTAATCGGCAGAGTGCAGCATTTTATGTAGTTTACTGGTAGGCCCCACTTGATGAATTAGTCGTGCAGTAGACCAAGGGTCTTTTGCAGTCGATCAGCGGCGTCTGGGTCACACTTAAGACCACAGCACGAGGCCATCGGCTGGCAAACATAACAACCTCTTCGAAGTCCAAGCTGGGTGGTTCGGGATAATGCTGTTTCAGCAAATCATCGTCAACATCATTATACACGTCAGCTAGAGGTGGAAGACATCTCAGCTACTGTGCCGCAATACATAAAACGATGCAAAATGCATCCCAGCTGAGACGTCGCAACGAGACTGGACCTTAACGTGATGCGATGGTTTGCGTACCTCATTGACCCATTGAGCTATACTGGGTGATGCCTCCGAGCATCTTGAGAGCTACTCCTACCAGGTTGGTCAATGGTGAGAGGTCAGACAAACTCAGTCTCCTGGTCCTCCAGGTTGGGGGTTTGAAATGGGATGGCGTCCATTTCTGTAAAACTAAATCACTGCCACCTCCCCGCCGCCTTGCGGACAGGCTTCTGAGCCAAAGGCTTTGGATGAGGACCCTAATCGTTCTCCTGTCTAGGTCTGGGCGCCCTGGCAGTATCTCAGCCCACATACAACCATGACATTTTCTTCAAACATAAACTTCATCCTGCATCGGCCGTCGCGCAGATTATCAAGGGTCGCCTTATCTGCTGCATACAGCAGGGCAGATAAGCGAAAGCATGCTACTGCTGGCGCCTCCCTTCTTTCTTTTCCACCTTTTTCTCTTACTCCCATCCCGATCCCCATTACTAGCCTTCCTTCTATAATTCCCAGTTTAATTGACAGCAACCGAAGTGCTACTGGAGTAGAACCATCTGCAGCCACCATCCCACAGCAGCTATCGGAAGCCTATCGGCAAAAGTCCCTTATAAGGTCACGTTGTCCCGTTTCCATGGCGACATTCAACGTCCGCACTCTAAGACAAACAGGTCAGCAGACTGCACTCGCACGCACGTTGGACACACTGGGTGTTGATGTGTTGTGTGTCCGAAACTAGGATTAATGACCCTAACGGGGTTATTAAATTGACCGCACCCGGATTATCCTCTCGTTATTGGTTGCACACATCCGGAGACGCCGATGCGGCACTCACGGGTCAAGCTGGTGTAGGTATCATTCTCAGCTCCAAGGCTGAGTCATCGTTGGTTGAATGGATTCCGGTGAACAGCCGTTTATGTGCAGCCCGTTTGACGACATCAGCTAAGGTGAATTCGCGAAGTAGTGCGGAACGCTGTATGTTTATGATTTCCGTTCAGTTCTAATGCAGTCAAGGACACATTCTATCACGAACTGAACGGGCTACTACGCAGTGCTACTAGTTCAGATATTATAGTACTTGCAGGGGATATGAACGCACAAGTAGGGCGTCTGAGCTCTTCAGAAGCTCAGCTGGGTGGTAATTATGGACTTAACTTCGAAAGGACTGACAACGGCGAGAGTCTGCTGCAACTGTGTGCAGAGCACCAGTTGTTTCTTAGTAGCACTGCTTTTAGATACAGTGGGCGCCGAAGTGCCACTTGGCGTCCACCTGTAGCTGGCCAGCGATGGACCCAAATTGACCACATAGCCATAAGTTACAGGTGGCGCGGTTCCATTCTGGATTGCCGCTCGTACTGGAGTACCTGTGTCGACTCTGATCATGCTCTGGTGCGCTGTCGTTTCTCCATGAACTTTACCGGAAGGCGCACAAAGCGTCTCCCCCGATTGGCAACTGAGAAATTGTCCCAGCCCTCGGTCAGGCAAGCCTATCAAGAAGCATTGCATACCGAACTCTCGCTGTCTTGTCCTAATGACACTGAACTTCAGTGGAATAGGACCTCGGCCACTATGCACGACGCAGGAGCATTAGCTTGTGGCACTATCAATCGTCACCGCACCAGTCACTGGATACCAGAAAAGTCGGTGAACCTGTTGGAAGCTAGAAGACGCCTCCCGGTTGGTTCTGAACACAATGTGACCAGACGGACTATTAGGCATGAACTAAAGCGGAGCCTACGTGCTGACAAGGAAGCCTGGTGGACCAGTCGGGCTCAAGAAATGGAGGAGGCAGGAGAAGTAGGCAATTACCGCAAGCTCTTCCAGCTAATCCGCACCACTGGTCCCAGAAAACCAGGCGTCAGTAAGACAATCAGAGACAACGCGGGTGCGCTGATACACAATAAGGAGCGCCGTATGGCTCGTTAGGCTGAACACTTTCAAGATCAGTTCAGCTGGTCCCCTGCTCCCGGACCTCTTCCTACTCAGGTGATGCAAGACGTGCGATGGACGGTTAGTTTAGAGCCTCCGTCGGAGGCCGAGGTCCGAAACGCGATCACAGCCCTCAGTCGTTTTCGTGCCGCTGGCCCGGATTCCCTCCCATCTGCACTATTTAAGGATAGAGGTGAGGTCCTCTGCAGGGCACTGACCTCCCTATTCGCACGTATCTGGAACGAAGAGTGTGCCGGCTAAGTGGAGCGAATCGATTATAGTGGCAATATACAAAAAGGGCAGTCGCACAGACTGTGCGAACCACAGGGGTATTAGCCTAACACCAGTTGTGACAAAATTACTGGCCTCGATTATCGTTCGTCGCCTCACTGCAGAACGGGAATCTCGGATTAGGGAAGAGCAGGCCGGTTTTCGCCCAGGACGTGGCTGTATAGATTATATATTCACTTTGCGGCAGGTGCTAGAGCAGCGCCACGCATACCGCAGACCGACAATAGCTGTGTTCCTCGATTTCAAGAGCGCGTTCGATTCAGTCGATCGATCGATTCTGTTCGAAATACTTGCGCGAAAAGGTGTTCCCACGAAATATGTGAATATCCTTCGTACTCTATACCCGAACAGTACAGGCCGCGTCAAGGACTATGGTGTCTTATCGGATAGCTTTTCGACTACAAGTGGTGTTCGTCAGGGTTGTCCGATTTCCCCGTTTTTGTTCAATTTCGTCGTGGATTCTATCATGGAGTGTTCCCTTGCGGAATCCAACGATGTAGGCGTTGAAGTGCTGCCTGGTGAAAGGTTAGTTGATCTAGATTATGCGGACGATATCGTCTTGCTTTTCGACGATGTTGGGGCGGCACAATCAACCCTGAATAGCCTGTCCAGAGTGGTCCCATTATTCGGTATGCACTTCGCACCTTCAAAGTGCAAAGTGTTGCTGCAGGACCACCAGCCACTTGATGACCCCTTGACGCTTGCTAACAAGGAACTCGAGGTGGTTGATCATTTCATTTATCTTGGCAGCTGCATCAGCAATGATGGGCGCATAGAAACTGACGTGAGCTCACGCATTGCAAAGGCCAGAGCTGCCTTCTTGAACCTGCGTCATATTTGGCGACAGAATGGAGTTTCCCTGCGTTTGAAAGGCCGTGTATACAAGGCCACGGTGAGGGCCGTTCTGCTCTATGGTAGTGAAACTTGGCCCCTTCGGTCTGAAGATCTGAGACGCCTCCAAGTCTTTGATCATCGGAAATGCGCCGTTGTCAAACCGATTCCAAAAGGCGGTGACACACGCAAAGTGGAGAATTACCGCCCTATTTGTTTGACCGCAGTATTGTCGAAGGTTCTGGAGAAGATTGTGAAGAAGAGACTGCTCCAGCTACTGGAGACCAACTCTCTCCTGACGCCTGCACAGCATGGTTTCGTGAGAGGCCGCTCGTGCATCACTAACCTGCTGCTAACATGGCATGAATGGTTGCAAGCAGTAAACCAACGAAAGTCAGTCGACGTGGTATACGTCGATTTCAGTAAGGCCTTCGACAGAGTGAATCACGAGATCCTCCTTCAGAAACTGAGGGAGTGCGGAGTCGGAGGCTCGCTGCACCAATGGATCCGTGACTTCTTAGTTGGACGGAAGTGGAGGGTGCAAGTCGACAGCCACCTGACCGACTGGTACCCGTCGACCAGCGGCGTTCCTCAGGGGACGGTGCTTGGCCCCATTCTCTTCCTGATTCACATCAACGACGTGCCCAATCTCCTTCGGTCGCCGTGTGCCTTGTTCGCAGATGACCTGAAGCTATGGAGGGTGATCCATACGTCGGACGACTTTGACATACTTCAGCAGAACCTCGACCGCCTCTCCATGTGGTCCGCCGAAGTA